AGGCTGAGGCAGGAGACTCGCTTAAGCCCAGGAGTTGGAGGTTGCTGTGAGCTGTGATGCCACAGCACTCTACCCAGGGGGATAGCCTGAGGTTCTGTCTCAAAAAATAAAAAAAAATCTGCTTCTCTCTGTCAACTAGAACATAGCTGAAGTGACACTTGCATCTCACTGAGGGTGCGTTAACTGATAGAGACAGTCCTAGAAACGTCCTTTGCACAGGAGCAGACATTACGGTTAAGACTCTACATGTAGCCTGCCACTTTCTGTCCTGGGCAACAAGTTCTGAGCACTGGTAGCCTACACACTCAGGAAGGTATCCTTCTGTGTGATAAGTACATAGCCCAGAGAAAAAGTCTCTCCAATGTAACATTAAAAAAAAATTATCTAGGTTCTTTAAGGTAAATATAAATCAACCAGACCTCATAAAGACTGTCTTACTTCCCCTTCCTCTGAAATGACATCTTTTAGCGACACGACCGCTCACGCTACAGTCACATTTATGGCCAGAGCTGAACGAGTAGGGGTAGAGGGCACCTGAGGGGTGGCGGGGGGAGTGGCCCTGCAGGCTGCATTGCATAAAAGGTAAATGCTGAACCCAAAACATGCACCAGATGGAGCCACATGCAGGAGTACAGAAATGCAGCCTCCATTCAGACTGGTCCTTCCTCAGCAACTGAGAACGCTAAAAATTATTAAAACACACATCCAATTTTTAATTAAAAAATACAGAAAGCAGAACAGAACCTTCTGTAAAATCTTACAAATAATTTAAGGATTGAGGCTGGGGGTGGTAGTAATCCCACCACTTGGGAGGCCGAGGTGGGTGGACTGCCTGACCTCACAAGTTGGAGACCAGGCTGAGCAAGAACGAGACCCCGTCTCTAAAAATAGCCGGGCAATGTAGCAGGCGCCTATAGTCCCAGCTTCTCGGAAGGTAAAGGCAAGAGAATCGCTTGAGACTAAGAGTTTGAGGTTGCCATGAGCTGTGATGCCATGGCACTCTACTGAGGGTGATCAAGTAAGACTCTGTCTCAAAAAAAAAAAACTTATAGATCAAATTCAAGCTACTCTAATGTCTAAGACAATGCCTGAAGAGAGGAAACGGGAGGGTGGGACGGGGCAGTGCGGGCTGATAGGAGTCAGGGACAGGGCAGTGAGTACCTTTCTAACAGAGAGAGATCTAGCGGGACTAAAGGTCTGCTCTGTGAGCTCGAGCCCTTCGATAGTCTCCGTACAGTCAGAGAGGGGCGCATCCTGCAACAGTAAACCCAGTCACCAGTGCGACCAGCCCCGCCTGCGCGATGTCCACCAACAACACAGGATGGAGCCAGCTAATCGCATGCAGCATGGACAGTGTTGACTGCAGTGATGGGACTGGTACATGCAGATGCTGAGCACAAAGCAGGACCACAGCCGGCCAGTCAGAAAATGTAGTGACTGCCTCTGCCCTGCAGAGTTGGGCTGCAGCCTCCAGAGGTAACTTCTTGCACCACTATCTCCACTGTGCCACTGAGCACTAAGTTCACAGGCAAGTTTACAGCACCCGCCCTCCGCAACCCAAGAGGCACTTTGCAGCAGACAGCAACCAAAGTACCAGCACAGAAGTCCCTCAAGCCCACCCTCTTTCAGCACCTTACAAAGGACACTGCCAAACCCAGGTGAACCCAGGGCCCCAAGTTGGTGGCAGGTGTGCCACCCTCACGTACACATGCACTACATGGAGCAGGGACCCAAGGGTGGTGCAGCTCTTGGCATGCTTATGTTCGTTTAGAACTCAAGGAAAAGCGCCTAGGTTGTTTCTTATCATGAACATTTTTAACAAACTAGTTGCCTCAAATACTCACCTCATCAAAGTCAATTTCTCTCCATTTAAGAATAACTTGGGAGCAGACAGCCATATTGCCACCACCCACTGTGTCAGACACTTGGAGCTCTCACCTGGACAAGGCTCCTGTCCATCACTACACCACACAGAACCTGGGACTGAGGGCCAGCCGTCTTGATGTCCTGTAAGTTCTGCTCTCGGATCTGAGGACAGGAAGAAGAAACACACATCAACATCTTGAGAAACCACACTGTGACTGGAGTGGTGCCATCTGCACACCTGGCCAGCCACTCTGCCCCACCCCGTACAGGCAGGACAGCCCAGCACACCCTGAGCAATCATGTCTATTTGATGGCCCTGTGCAATCTGCTCAGGAGGGCTTGATCTGAGGGATAGAGGCACTATTCCTGACTTTCACTCACTAATGTGGGAAGTTCCCTGTGTGCCTATCTTCTGGTGACACTGTGAGCGTCCATGACCTCCCATTCTGATATACCCAACTCTTTGAATGAACCCTGAAAGGCAGGCACAGCTGTCTATTCTTGCTAGGAATAGGCTTTACAGCTTCCAGTTCTGACCTGTAAGCCAACAATAGTTCAAGAATTAACAGGGCCCAAAAACTTGTCTGTTGCTCACAAGCCACACTATTTTGTGCAACTGCAGCACTGTAAAGAGATTACTTCAGTTGCAAAAGTGGTGACAGCACATGTCTTCTGCTAGGAACAAGCACACCCTCTGTCCCTTCCAACCCTACCCCAGGCCCCACAGAGCTGATGGCAAGACGCACCTTGTTCCTCATCTCCTGGACCTCTTTGGGGTTAGTGTTCAATGGAACAAACAGGTTAGGGACAGCAGAGGTGGAGGTTCTATGTCCATCCTCTTTAGTCCACTGTAATATCAAGAACAGTTGAAAAGTCAGGATTATGACAACAATAAATGACACCATAGCATCCAATCTGTCCAACTGATCTCACATCTCGCATGCACTGAACATCAGAGAGGGCTGAACCAAGGCCATACTTCCCACCACTCAACGGAGTCGCCATGGGAGTAGGACAAGGCCACATAAAAACCAGTTAATGGTAGAAGTCAAATCATGACTGGTGGAAAAGGACCATCCAGAAAGCCCAGCTGAACTCTGGACCACAGTATGGGCTGACGACAGAGCTACGCCCATAACCCCCTCGGACCAACTGAGAGGTCCTCAGAGACCATTGGTTCGCCGCTCTGAGAGTCGTCCAACACCAAAGCCAACTGGAAGCATGAGATGACAGGGTCATGAGAAGCAATGTGATGCTGCTACCCAGGGTGGGGCAGAGTCTGTACTGTGAGGCAAGAGTGGGCATCACCAAAGTTCTGCATTAAAATAAATGACAGACATCGGAATGCACCATTTGTGTGACTATTTCCACTCACAGAAATATGAACACATATTCAGGAGCTACCTGGAAGAAGAGTTTGGTGATGTTGAATATTTTATACAACTTAGTATTTTTGAACATTACAAAAATATCTAGAACAAACTTGAAGCGCTTCATGAGTCCTTAGTTAAGGGCTGTTTTAGGTATCAGTGCATGTCGCCAACACACTGTGACTTCCACTTACACAATTTTTTTTGGTTTCCAATCAAATGTGAGATTTTTAACCAAATTTTAATTCTTAGGCATAGGCACTGACCATTAAAACAAGTCCATCTTTGAGAGCAAATGTTAAGCCTTTCAGAGTGTTTTGAGAGGCGGTGAGGGAGCATAAACCGTACGACGCTACGGAAGCAGCGAGGGCGGCAGGTGCCTCCCAGAGGAGGCTGTGGGATGGGCGTGGGCTGTGCGTACTCACTGAGGGCCTCTTTTCAGCTAAAACAACGCAGCGTCTCATTGAAAATAATTTTTAGTCAACACAGTGCAACAACAACCTCACAAGTTTAACATTTGAAAATTTAACAACAATCATTATAAATTAAAATATACCAACCTGGAACACTGCATGGAATTTGTATTACTTCAGAACAATACAGAACAAACTTAAATGCTGGACAAGGTCTTTCCTTCAATTTTTACATTATCTAAAATGCCTAAAGTGATTTAATTTGCTTTCAAGCCAATAGTAAATAAAGCTCAAAGCAGCTGCTACACAGGCATTTTGGAGAAATTCACCACAGTAGCACTATGGATTCCCATCAGCAGCAGAAATCTTTTTTTTTAAGGCCAACTCTCTTTAATAAGTAAAGCAAATAAAAAATAAACTAGTGGAATTTTTTAAAAAGGGAGACAGGGAGAGAAGGTGAAAGGGGCTCAGGGAGACAGGAGGAGGGAGAGTCGTGCTCCAACCCAAGCCCCACAGCCACACCAGGTCCCTGCCCACAGGACACAGCTGCTCAGGAGCATGGAGGCGTCGCCTCAGGAAAACACCAGAACCACCTGGGGAAGACAAAACTTAAAAAAAATAAATAAATCTATAAAGTAAAAGCACTGTCATAAGGGGAAAAAAAAGTTGTGCTTTGCTTATGTGCTGCCCATGGTTTCAGGAACATCTAATCTAACCTCAAATGGACCTGCACAGAACAGGTCACACACAGATGAGTCTGCCCCACCAGTCTCCTCACAAAAGACTCCAATTCAGGAGCTTCTGAAAATGGACTTCTCTTATATTCTACAACAGGATCTGGGCAGACGGTCAGAAGTTACAGAAGCAGTAAAGACTCATCTTCAGAGGAATGTTTCAGCACCAGGATTCCGGAGCATCTTTCAGGAAAATGGTAACTCTGAGCAGTGTTAATGCTGAAACGAAGCACCCCTTGCAGCATCTGTCGCTGGTGCCTGCAGACGGCCTGCGCTGCACTTGGGTCATGCCGCACCCAGCAGGAGTCGGAGACTCCCCACTGTGTTGTCTGCTCACATGCAACAGTCCATGCAAAGGGCAGCCGGCTGTGTGCATTCGGAGGCTTTGGGATAGAAGCAGGGTAACAATGCTAAGAAGGGACAAGGATCAGCAGAGAACACACTAGTAAAAGCCAAGAGAGAAAACTGCTTAAGAAAACACTACAGACTTAAGGAAAAGACTTTAGGGACTCGATGGAAGCACTGGAGTTCGCAACACTAAATATCAGGTTCACGACAGAACTATCTTTGTGCATCAAGTATTAAGAGTCCCTGAATCCAATTTGAATTAGAGATCTCCTACTTTTAGGTTAAAGCGTGTAAACTGTTTAGTATTTGGCTATGTATGGTGTCAGGTTACCCTGGGTTACTGAGAAGTACACTATATCTTAAGCAGTTTCAAGCAGATGGTGTTACTGGAATCTTAGCTAGTACATAAAGCAGATTTTGGTCCTGACTGAGAGAAAGTGAATGAGGAAGGCTGGCTTTACATACAGGATAGAAGGGCTGGATTCCCAAAGCCTCCGAAGCCCCAGCTGCCCAGAACTTGCTCTACATCATCTAACTATGAACAGTAAGGTAGGCACAGACCAAGCAGTTGGTAATACAGCTTGGCACGCAGACACCGGACGAGAGAGACTGCAGCAAGGGTTTCACGTGATCGTGTGTAATGCTCGTCCACACCTTAGTCTTCGACTTGGGACTGCTCCCATCCTGCCCCTCCTCGGAAGCTTCATCGCCCCGGCCAGAGTTCAGCCATCTTGTCTTCTCTCGCTGCTGCTTCTGAAAACTGTGTCTGAGAGGGGAGCAAGTGCCCGAATCACCATCACTAGCAAAGGAGTAACCTGTGACACTAGCAGGAACCTCCACATCGCTGTATTTTTTAGATTTTTCTCTCAGAGCAGGGTATCGATAAGGGTAGCCAGTTCTGTAGCCCTAGGGTTCAAAGAGAGTGAAAGGTAGTCAATATTCCAGATCTCAAAATAGGATTTCATTTTGGAAATATCTACAAGAGCTGAATATATTCATGCTCCATAACCCAGTAATTCAACTCCTTTATGCCCGAGAAAAACACACATGTTCACCAAAACACAGGGAATAAATTTGTTGACAGCAGCACTAGTCCTGACAGACCAAAACTGCCTATACTCAGAGGTCCTTCGATAGCGGCATGAATAAACTGCGAGCCCGTAAGGCCCGGGGCCCAACTATGAGAATAAATACTCCCTTTACAAAATGCAACAATGTGGGTGACTGTCACCAGTATGATGCTAAGTGAAATCAGCTACTGGAAAAGAACACACACTAGACAATACCATTTCTAAAAGGTGCAGAAGTGGGCCTGGCGAGGTGGCTCACACCTGTTATCTTAGCACTCTGGGAAGCCAAGGAGGATGGACTGCCCAGAGCTCATAGCTTCAAGACCAGCCTGAGCCACAGTGAGACCTTGTCTCTAAAAATAGCTGGGCATTGTGGTGGTTACGTGTAGTCCTAGCTACTTGGGAAGCTGTGGCAAGAGAATCGCTTGGGCCCAAGAGTTTGAGGTTGCTGTGAGCTGTGATGCCACAGCACTCTACCAAGGGTGACAAAGTGAGATTCTAACTCCAAATGAAATAAAATTAAATTAAAATTAAATAAAATAAAAGGTGCAGAAGAGTTAAAGCCAGTCTTTGCTGTTAGAGACAGGACAGTGGTCACTACTGGGATGGAGCACGGGACCTGGGGGTGCTAGGGCATTCGAAGATGCTGCTATTGTCATCGTCAGAGTGTTGCTTACATAGCGAGTTCAGTTTTTTAAAAATTCAGCAAGCTGGACACCCACAGTATGTGAACTCTCCCATTCAGGGATTGGATTTCAACAAAAGTAAAAACTGAAAACACAGACTGGGTGACTGTGTGGCCAGCTGCTGTGCAGTCTGCATTCAGCTACCTACTTGATATTTTCTTGCCTTTTAAGCCTGCTTAAATACTGTGACAATCTTCAGATAAGGTAAACAAGTATACCTCATGACAACCAGTTCTCAGCAAAATCACTTTACATTTGAATATAACAACATTTACCTTCAAGCTTGGTGCTGCTTCCTGACCATCAGCTATGCTTTAAACATTGGGCTCCCCACTTGAGTCACACTTCTGCTGGACCAATGTCCTCCAGAGACAGTATCTCCAAGGGCAAGGACAGCATCTTACTAGTTACTCTGTCTAGTGCTTGTCATTTGGTAGGTGTGACAGACTTTATGGGTTCCCACTTCCTGTAAGCTCCCCCTTGAGTGGGGGGTGGACCTCAGACTTGCTTCTATCAGTGGAATTTAGAAGAGGTGGCAGGTGTAGTATGTAAGTGCAATCTCTCTCTCCACAGCTGGCTCTGAAGAAGCAAGCCTGGATACCACAGCCATAAAACATCCTGCCCCAGCCTGAGGGGACTGGGGAGTAGGCCCTCCGAAGTGGAGCTTTCAGATAAGACCGAACACACCCTGAGGCAGCCATAGTGACACCCTAAGGTTGAGCTGAGTTCAGCTGTGCCTCAACTCCTGACCCACAGACACCATGGAATAAGAAACAAGTATTGTTTTAAGTCTAATACAGCTCTGGGAATTGAGACTTTAACGAGCCTGGCACAGCAGAGGGACCCGAAAGCTGTACCTTACAGCAAGTGTTCTCATCTCCCCAGGCTGTGCTGGCTGTGGCACTGTCCACTGCAACTGTCCTCCTCTCAGCTCCCCATGCTGTGCTGGCTGTGGCACTGTCCACTATGGCTGTCCTCCTCTTAGCTCACTATGTGATCCTATCTACTCTCTGAAGTCATTCCCAAGGGCCATCTTGTACACTAAGTTTTCTCTCCAATCCTTGCAAAGGATGAATTCCCTTACTGAAAAGCCCAACATAGAACACACCTGTGTGCAGTCCTATCACTGTATAGCCGCACTCCCTCATTCCCCAGGACCTTGCTGGACTCTGTGACCCTGCAGTAAGCAGCTCAGGGTCTCCCAAACATGGACAGGCAGCAGACATCCATGGAACACAGTAACCAGGCCTCAAACAGCTGGAACTGATTAGTCCAGACACAGGACTTACTGATTCAGAAAGTCCCACCCTGTCCACGCCCGTGAAAGAAAGCACTAAGCTGGTTCTCTAGTCATTATTCTCTGCACCCCTGCCCCAACTTCAAACACAAAATAATACAAGAATCCTCCATAAACAAAATAATACAAGAAACCTCCATATTTCTCATGATTTAGCTCAGAAGTTAAATAACTCTAGTGCTTCCTCATGATTTTTGAAGGTAAAAGCATTCACATAGCAATTTCATTTTCTGCTTTCAGAAATTTCATTAGTGCTTTCAGAACAAAAGCTTTACCACCGAGTGATGTCACTGTCCTTACCAGGTTATCAAGCATCCTCATGAGGGCTTCAAATTCCTGCTCACCAATCTGCCACTTAGGAGGTGACCCAGTGCCTTCCCCTTTTGGAGACCCAGGGGAACGGGATCTGGCTTTGTACTTCTCAGGATCTAGCAGGACTAAATTGTCAGGTCCTCCAGCGCTGGCCAGAGTCCGAACCTTTTCAAAACAAGCACACACCAAGGCATGAGTCCCTTACTTAGAGAGATTATTTGAAAAAGAATGCAGGTTTCAGGCAGCACCTATGGCTTAAAGGAGTAGGGAGCCAGCCCCATATGCTGGAAGTGGCAGGTTGAAACCCAGCCCCGCCAAAAACTGCAACAAAATTTCAACAGAAACCAAATCACCAAGAGTTCAAGAATAAAAGACAGATGGACAGTGATAAGTTGATCACAAGATTTTCAGACATTTTCTTTAGCATGACAAAAATGTTGGGCACTGACAGTCAGAGAATTGAGAAAACAGGACACCCCTTAGGGTCCTATGAAAGACATGGGCTCTCACTACCTAGAGCCGTCCGTAAGTTAGAAAGCAGTGGGGAAAATATGAACTTGGGGCTAAGGAGAGCTGACATAAGGGGTGCCCACCTGCCTGCACCCGCCTGCCGCAAGGAGCACTGATTAGGCCACATGGAATGACATACAGGACGACAGATGCCAAGCACCTGATGCCAGGGCTAGCACAACTAGCACTCCAGAAATGGTCAGGATGCATATATTTGAAAAACTGTAAGTTAGTAATGAAAAACCTAGTAATCTTTTGCCAAGTTAAATCAGAATGACATTTGTTGATCTGATTAATTTCCAAATCCATGAGCTCATCTTTGGGAGAGAAATGCTCTAGGAGGCCAAGGCGAGTGGAATGCTTAACCTCAGGATCTCAAGATCAGCCTGAGCAAGGCCAAGACCGCATCTCCACTAAAAATAGAAAAACTATGGGTGTTGTGGCAGGCGCCTGTAGTCCCAGCTACGCACAAGGCTGAGGAAGAGGGTCATTTGAGCCCAAGAGTTTGAGGTTGCTGTGAGCTCTGATGCCATAGCACTCTAACCAGGGTGACAGAGTGAGACACTGTCTCAAAAAAATGGAGAAGTGACAGCCTCATCAAGGGTAAAAACTGAGCTTGAGAACCAAGAAGTCCACCCTCAGAGAGCAAGTGGGTCTCTGCTCCAGTTTTTGAGGAGCCAGCTAGAGGTCCAACATACTCCCACCCCACAACCAGTATCAAGTGAGGGTCCCCAGCACCCACACTGGCCTCACTACCCCTCTGAATTAAAGAAAACTGGCAACCAGCTCTTTTTTTGAGGAATGACTTTCCTCCTTGTGTTGGCCAGTGGTGTGGGGACAGTGTGGTATTTCTCAGTGATTTCCTAGTGCTATTTCCTCCCTCAAGGTTGGGAGGCAATAATGACCAACCCAGGAATTCTCAATGAATTTTTATTACTTAAAAAAGAAAATCTATGTGGAGCCCTGAAACATTTAAATACGTTGACAGACTGTAATTGCCACTGCCTACCTGGATCTCACAGGCAACCACGAGGTTATGGATGTAATAAAAGGCCTCCTCAACACTCTCTCCTACTGACACGAGCCCATGATTCCGGAGAATAAGGACCTAGAGGAAAACAGAAAGGCACTAAGGAGTGGGACAAGATGGACACTTTTCCATTTTTCTTCTCCCCACTATAATTTAAACCCAGATTAGATGTCTACTGACCTTGCATTTAGGTCCCAAATTTTTCTGAATCAAAACCTTTTCCTCTTCATCAACCAGAATGCCATGATAGTCATGATAAGCCACTTCTCCAAGGGAAAGCGCCTCTGGGGAGATTGGTAAGAGGCCACATTTCATCGCAGAGACCTAGAGACCAAGTGGTCACCATGAGGGAAGGAAAAGCCAGAGTTACACAGCAACTGACGATGGGAAAATGCTTTCCTCGGAGAAACAGAAACGGGGCGTTTGTGTGTGTGTGTGTTTGTTCTATACTTGAAAATAAATGAACTCATGAAGTTAAGATCAATTCAACTTTTGCAGCTCATTAGCAATCCACAATTAAAACTAAAAAGTGTCACTACTAAGCTGGGAGAGACTCAAAGAAAACTCACATCTTTCTGGTTTTCTCCCCGCTGATTATAAATGCTATGTAAGCTTGGATTTAATGACACAATGGGCATTGGTCTAGTGCAAGGAGAAGACAGCAGACTCCTCTGAGGAGTCGATGCATTTCAAAAAGGTTTCCAGCCAGGCACAGGGCATATATACCAGTAGTGTCAGCTAATCAGGGGGGATCACTTGAACCTGGATGGGAGGATCACTTAAGTCTTGGACTTTGAGGTTACAGTGAGCCTTGATGATGCCACTGTGCTCTAGCCTGGGCAACAGAATGAAACTCTGTCTCAAAAAGGAAAAAAAGGGCTCGGCGCCTATAGCTCAACCGGCTAAGGCGCCAGCCATGTACACCTAAGGTGGCGGGTTCGAATCCCCAGCCCGGACCCGCCAAACAACAATGACGGCTGCAACCAAAAAATAGCCGGGCGTTGTGGCGGGCGCCTGTGGTCCTAGCTACTTGGGAGGCGGAGGCAGGAGACTCGCTTGAGCCCAGGAGTTGGAGGTTGCTGTGAGCTGTAATGCCATGGCACTCTACCCAGGGGGACAGCTTGAGGCTCTGTCTCAAAAAAAAAAAAAAAAGGAAAAAAAGAAGAGAAAAAAATTTATGAAAGTTTACAACAATAATACTATACAATTGCTCTATATTTAAGTAAAATTGAGTCCCAATATAAAAAAAATCTAAGTGTTAATATAGACATTAAATTTCCTGAAATTCCTCAAAGTGGCCTTACAATATGCTAATTTTGAAGGTCATCTATAGACAGCAGCTTTATGACCCCAAATGCACAGGCGCCAAAGAATCAAATACCACCTACAGCATGCACCACAGTTTCACAGAAAAAAAGTCCATCTAGAAAGACAATCCCAAATTAACTCCTTTTATAGTCTCAGCATTCACATAAGAAATTTCCTTACCAAGAAAAATTATTTTGATAATTTTTAAAACATACATTGTGATATCTGCTCATAACCATCTTCTCAAAGGGGAGTCCAACAGTTTCTAGAAACCTAGGGTCATTTCAGTGGCTGGAATGGCATGCATTCTTTCAGGAAAAAATTACATCATTCAGAGAATGACATATCTAATAAAACTCTATTGACATCAAGAACTGTATGTTCAAAGTGAAACAAAGCAGAGCTAATACTCATGCAAATGACCCAACATGCAAGACATGAGATTACACACGGCACTGTCGTATCAATGAGGTCACTTGTCACATGATAAGCCCAAAAAGCCCTTAATGTAAACTTGGTAATAAAAAAGATAGTTCTAGAGTATTTATTTCACTTTCACATGACTTTTTGCCGACAGCTAGAACGTGCACTTTCATACTGAGGGATCTAGGGATTTGTTTGGGCGGCCTACTCACCCCAGACGGGACCAAGCTTGGTGAGGGGCCAACTCGGGCTCGGGGAAAGCTGTGAGCAGGAGGCCAGGCCTCCTGACAGCCTGAGCTGTCTGTGCCTCTCCTCCCTCATCACAACCCAGCCTGGGGTCCCGCTGGCTGCAGACAGCACATTGTGGGAGCTGGGCGAATGGTTTCCAGGCTGCTCCCTCTCCCCTGGCTCCTTCCCCATAGCCTGTAAGCACACTTAAGTCTCAGGTCCAAAGTGCCTGAGCACTTCCTTCAGCCCACAGTGCCCTCCGACCCTCACCCTGACTTGCTCGCCCCATTTTTCCATTCTTCTTCTCAAAATGAGGCATGTACTTCCTGCTGTCATCTTGCATGTCCTCACAGTCTTCAACACACTAAAACCTGACTCCCCCACGATGTTCTAATTGTTACATCTGATAGACATTTCCAGAATTATTACAGGTTTTTCAAATTAGATCATATATGATCCCTTAAGAGAAAAAAAATTTTCTTTGAAGAAAGTCAAACTGAACTGTAAAAATTTTTTTTAATCTAACAAAATTAGGTTTACTGACTTGTTACAGTAACGGGGAGCAATTTAGAGGAAACATTTAGTTCCTCTAACTGAACAGCTTTACAACTTTAGGCGCTACCAGGACAGCACACTCACCGCAGCCCCCGCTGGTGTGTGAATGTGCACAATACACTTCACGTCTGGTCGGGCAGCATAAATTGCAGAGTGTAATGTGAAGCCCGCTTGGTTTACTCCTAGATTAGTGCTTCCACGATCTACTATGTCTCCTTGTAGATTGATTTTAACCTGAAAATAAAGAAACCAAAACTGAAAATGTGAAGATGACTTCACTTAACCCCAATAGAAACTATTTAAACCCAAGTATCAAGTGTTTATAACTTATTTCTAATGTTTTTCTCAAACTGAACTCATCATATAAAACACTGACTCTTTGCTATTTCTCAGTTTTATATGTGTGACTGGATTTGAGAGTGTTTAATGATCTGACATGACCCACACAAAGGCTACCAAAGAGCAGGGCAGGGCATTCTTACCAAACTGGACGCGGTCACTTCACTGTAGAGCAGCCCAAAAGGTACAATGAGGAAATGTTCCAGCTCGGAGCTCACTCTGGACTGTGGGGAGAATGGCTGAGTTAACACAAAAACCCAGTGCAAATACCTGCACTTCTTCCAGGCCACAAATGTGTGTGACTGGTGAGAACAGTAGGTGAGCTATGCAGCGAAGCAGGTCAGCACAGTGCTTTCTATTTCTACACAGCAGTAACTGCACTCATCAAGCACATCAATGCTGCTTGGTCACACTCACGGGAACCGACTTTACAAAGGGTTTTACAAAGGGAAAACAGTTCCGCACTGGGTGTCCAGCAAGTTAGTAACTTATGCTGCGCTACTTTACTGCGCTTTCCAGTGACTACCAAATAAGCCCAAAAAGGGGTCACTCTTCAGGGACAAAAAAATAAAAACCAAAACTTACTTTTTTTTTTTTTAGAGACAGTGTCTCACTTTGTCACCCTTGGTTGAGTGCCATAGCATCACAGCTCACAGCATCCTCTAGCTCTTGGGCTTAGGTGATTCTCTTGCCTCAGCCCCCTGAGTAGCTGGGACTACAGGCACCCGCCATAACACTTGGCTATTTATTTTTGTTGCAGTTTGGCTGTGGCCAGGTTTGAACCCACCACCCTCGGTATATGGGGCTGGTGCCCTACTCACTGAGCCACAGGCGCCGCCCCAAAACGTACTTTTAAAAAGTCAATTGGAATTCTTTGAATACTAAAAACTTGCAGGATGACAGAGAATCATAAAAATCACACATGAGGGCAGTCTCTTCCTGATGCATGGCTGGCCTTTTAAGTCTCCATCCCCCACGACACACCTTTCTCTCCACACAAATTCACTCAGTGTAGACCCAGCCCACACTGCACACGAAAGACATATAAGCTGCCAGGAACAGAGCAGTGAGAAGGAAGAGCAGGGACCTCCAAAAGTTCAATCCAGTTTTTATGATGATCTTGGAGTAAACTCAAAGATCAAGCTGAACATACTACTACTGGGTTAAGAAATCTAGAATCCTACATTGGGTCAAGCAGGAAGAATTCAGTATTTGTTGGGAAGTACTTAAAGTGACTAGGGCAACCCCCTGAGGAGTGCAATGACTTCTGTGGTGTCCCAAACAGAAACACATCTGGACCCGCTGGGTATAACTCTACAGACAAGGCTTTATATCTTCACTCGGCAGAAGAGTGCTGAGAACTCATCATGTCCTCAATCCTGTGGTGCTGTAAATAATGAACAGAAGCTGGACGTAATAGTGAACACACCCTTTCTCACACTGAGCAGGAGTCCGCATTCCTGTGTTGTGAGCACTGCTTCTAGGACACCACACAGAACAAGTCCTATCTCCTTGCTGCCATTTAAAATTCTCAGATATCTGAAACAATCCTAATCTCCCCTTACGTCACCTTTCTGCTAAACTCACCTGATTCCTCCAGTATTGTATGACAGGGTTAAGAGAATAACATCCAAAGTCAGATAAGACTCAAGTTCAAATCCTAACTCTGCAAGAATTAATTCACTAAGCTGCTTTAGGCACCTGAGCTCCTGTTCTCCTTATCCATTAAGTGAGGATGACAAGGGCTTGTCCTATAAAACTCCCAGTAAGTGGCATCTCCCATTATTACTACCTTTAATGTCGGTAGGAGAAGCAATAGTAAATTACCATTAATGAATTTATCTTCTGTAAATTCATCTCTATTACATCAAGTCTCTATAAATCTCTATCACCCATTTCTCTGCTCTCTTTTAGGTATTTAAAAAATGTGCAGTTTCTACTGTCTCCCAAAACATCTTCCCATCACTGCTGACTTAGCTTTGCTTTTTATTCCCCAAACTCAGCTCTTTTATCTTAAAAAGCATCCTGAACTTTTTTCTTTTTTTTGAGACAGAATCTCACTTTCTTACCCCTCATAGAGTGCAATGGCATCGTAACTCATAGCAACAACAAATTCATAAGCTCGAGCAATCCTCTTGCCTAGGCTTCCCAAGTAGCTGAAACTACAGACACCCACCACAACACCCAGACATCTTTTAGAGACAGGGTCTTGCTCTTGCTCAGGCTAGTTTTAAACTCGTGAACTCAAGTGATCAACTCACCTCAGCTTCCCAAAGTGCTAGGATTACAGGCGTGAACCACCTTATACTGACCTTTTTAACCTTTTTAACTATCTAATGCAAAACCAGGCAACTGCTCTAAATCCCCAAATTGGGATCAAAACAAAACATAAAAAACACAGAATTTGTGTATATATTTTCTGGAATGAAGAAACAGATGGAAATAAGAAAAATTAAATGGCAGATTTGAGGGCTCATTTTACAAGTTTTTATTTTGAAAACATACACACAGCAGAGTACTTAGGATGTGGCCTAAGGCTATACATCTAGTTCACAGTCAGAAAAGAGATTACTGAATGTTTAAAATCTTTCACCTTGC